TAGTAAATATGTCAGTTTTCTTATTTATTCAATCAATAAGTAGGATAATTACTTCAGATAATTTTAATACATAAATACGTTTACAAAATTAAATATTTTTGAGAGTATCTATAAATTTTAACACACATAAATAAAATAAGTAAAATCGAAAAATATAAACAATTACTTTTTCTTTAGATGGGTAAGTGGAATACTTAATTGTACTCTAGTTAAATCAGATCATCTTTTAACGTTTTTTTTTATTTTTAATTATGGTCAATTATGGCTAGGCACATTTTTTAGTATAAATACCTAGTTTACAATTTAAAATTCTTAGATATCAACATTTAAAGTGATTTCAATACTTCTGCTCTTTAAAATAATGTAGAATGAAAATGAAGCAGTTTCATGATAATAAATAATAACTGTATTTATACAGGTAAGGCAAAATGTTCACCATACAGAAATTACACATTTCATTAACGACTTTTTTTATTTTGTATGAGCAAAAATGTATAATCTGATTAATTCTAAATGAACCAAACTTTTATTTGCACTTATTGGATTTATATTCTTTTATTATTTGTATGAAAAAATGGCTAAAGGTATTTGCAGAAATTTTCTTATACTAGGTACGTATTTAAAAGATATTCATTATTGCATATAGTAAAATATTCGGTTCTTAATTCGCTACTACTGTAGGTATTATATAGGTTGACTGGTTAGGTCGACGTATCCCTTTAGGGATACCTAGTAGAACCTATTTTAAATCTACCTACATTTAACATAACTTCTTTTGTATATCCCAACAAAATATTGACAAAAAAAAACCAAATTTTTACAGCAACATTGACAGTATAGCAGACAGCGAAGTTAGGAAAACAGAGTAACTTAAAACCTGTCAACTAATGTATAATGCATATTATGGTTCAATATTTTGCAAGCAAATCCTCCTAACATATCCCCAAAGGAGCATATTGAGATACCAGCCACCCTGTATATCTGATTAAGAGCCCAATAGGTACCAATTATTTCTAAAAATAGATAGGTACATTTCACACAATTGGATGCACAGTTTTCCGTCTAATAAAGGGCTCTAAGGAGATGAAGTTCTAAACACGATCAGTCTACCTAATTACTTAATTAGGCACAGGCATGCATATACACTTAATTATAACACCATTCCAACACTAATTAACTCTTTACACAAGTAAGATACTTGCGTACAGAGTACAGAGGTATGTATGTAGTATGATTCACAGGAGGTAACCAAGACAGTCATGTGCGAACGCATGTAATTACAAAAAAAAACTGCATAGAAGTTTATAATCTGTTTATACTTTTCCAACCGAAAAAGAAAATTAGCACCCAGATAAATAAATAAAAGATCGTCATAGGGTTGTATTCTTTTTTTGTTTTCATTTTATTTATTTGAACACCTGCAGAAAAGCTGATGTTCAATAAATGACCTATTTTTGTTAAACAATATGATCCTGCGCGACTTAATTATTTAAGAAGAAAAATACTATGTAGATACTTTAAAAAAACCTTTAAAACGAGCCGTACAATCACAAAATGGCTTCCACTTACATCAGAATGACCGAAAGTTATTCGAAGCAGCAAAGGCAGAACAAAATCGACAAGAAAGAAACATAATGCGTACTTTCGGCATTATTACACATTACCTATCCACTAGTATATCTTGTGTAAACGAAAGATAACAACACGACTTAAGTTCCAGTTCAAAATGCTATTTACGAGAGAACTACCTAAATATTTTGCTAATCCATCATCAAAATAAGGATAGTCTCGACGGTGTGTAAGAGAGATGGAATATTTAACACACCAAAGCCAAAGAATTACATACAAAAACACCCGTTAAATTAATTTAGATAATGTAAATAATTTAATGGTTATTTCATATAGACACATACCCTGAAAATTTTAATTTCTTCGGTACCTTCCACCGCAAACAAATCGTTCCTTGATGTTGCAGAACGTAGTTAATCCGAAAGTTACGGTTTCCGTTGAACGTTTTTCAAAGCTTGTAGGCGTCACTACACGTCACAAACACCAGAACTTCACATCACTAAACTGCACACCATTCCGCATCCTCTCAGAATTATCAATACAAAACGCACTCACTATTTCTTCAAAAACACAGCACAAAAATTATCAATCGACACTCGTCTAAAATACACCTTCCAACGACCAACAAAATACTGTAACTGAACTCGATCAAACAGACAGCTTTACCGAGTCTGCACGAACGTAACCGAACGTAACAAAGCCTTCTTGATTCTGTGACCAGTTCAAAGCCTACTACTGCAAATTCGTACTCCGTATTTACTTTTTCATTTATTTATGTACAAATGTGTACCTAGGTACAACATACTTTATTTGGAGTCTTTACACACAAATACACACACACGCACACACAACAATATCTATACACATTATACCAAACACATACTATATTATCGATGGTTTCTACATGGAATCGAATAAAGTATGGGTGGCATGAATTCATTAAATCCGAACAAATTGTCGGATGCTAAATTCTAGGGCGTAACTCAATCGGAGACCGAATAGAAGTAGTCTCGCATTAACCACCCCCAAATGCGGACAGGCAGGTTTACCGAAATGTCCAACTGTATTGCATTTCGTTCGTGTTGCCTTTTCCTACCGTATTTATTGGGTATGCTCTTTACTTATTGGAAGGCCTTTTGGCTTTATACATATACTTGTTGTTATCTTAAATATCTAGAAACAAAATTATCTCTTTCTGTTACACATTAATTAGCGTAATGTTATTCCTTTTTCTTTNCGACACTCGTCTAAAATACACCTTCCAACGACCAACAAAATACTGTAACTGAACTCGATCAAACAGACAGCTTTACCGAGTCTGCACGAACGTAACCGAACGTAACAAAGCCTTCTTGATTCTGTGACCAGTTCAAAGCCTACTACTGCAAATTCGTACTCCGTATTTACTTTTTCATTTATTTATGTACAAATGTGTACCTAGGTATGTATTACAGGTATTTTTGCTGGCGAAATTGTAGCAATTAAAAAAAAACGCAATAATAAATTGCGTCTTTATTATAACTATTGCTTCAGGGATTAATAATAATACAGCGCAATTTAATTAAATTACTAACAAGTATCATTTAGAAATTTCAGTTCGTTCAAGTAATACCTAATAAAGTTTCTGAAGGTTTTTGACACTCTCCCTCCTCTTGTAACGTTCCCAACTTGGTTACCATTTTTACATATAAATGTTAATTAGGTATGTCGCGAAAAATATCAGAAAATTATTAAAATATCGTTTGTTCCCTTTAATTGACTCCCCCTCTTATAATACACCCTTACTGTGGTACATAATGCTTTGAAGCCCCTTACTATGAATGTACATGCAGGTAATTAACCAAGGATTATAAGTACATATTTCTATATTTATCTTTTTATTATCATCTAAATTAGAGAATTACACAAGAAATGTTTCTAGTTCTCTTGAAATGTAGGTGTAACGACACATAACAAAACTTTGTATTTTGTGTACTTGGTACCTGCATGGGTACGTGTTATGTTTTTCTTGATTTAACATGACTTTCTACTAATCGTGAGTTAATATAAATTCGATTAACTAATGATAAGCACAATAAAGGGACATATAATAGGTATACATATTGATAATACAACAGTGAATTTAGAGAAGTAGGCTGTGCATATTTTAATTGAAATGTATTTTTCGGTTGACAGCTGCAGTTGTTAATGAGCCGATATTTATCCATTTAATAACTCGTCGATTTCACATAGTGCGCTGTGTATACAGACGTCAATTAGGAACATCTCCGGGGCTACCTCCTCGGCAACTTTAATCTACTCCAATTTCGCACGTCTGCGTAATATATTATTCAAAGAAACAGTGAATAGCGAATATCTTGTAATACACGCACGTATACATGCATATATATGCATACAGCGACCGCTGTATTATAATATGATGCATAGCAGCAGCAGGGGCGCTACCGGCATCGGCAACCGCAGCAGCAGCGGCAGCGTCTCTAAAAAGATGAAAGAGTTTGGAAGTCGACTCTCTCGAAGCGCACGTCGTCATCGGCGCCGCCGCCTCGACGACGTTTCGTCTCCATGGCGTTGCACAGCCAGAAGAGTCGGCATCACACACACACATACATTCATACCCATACAAAGATTGGTGTGTAGATGAAAGCGACAGAAGCGGCGCGAGAGATAGAACCAGCGAGCGAGCGACGTTCCGATGGAACAACGGTCGAGTCGACGGTTGTTCCAGAGGAAACGCAGGCTTTAACCTGACCTTGATTAATTGTTTAAATAGTGTTTTATTAATTATTTTATTAATAATTATACAAAAGACACTAAAAAATTTACAATAACAACAGCAATTAAAGTATGCCACCTGGAGTGCGGTCAACTTGCCCACGGTGCCCAACCGAAAGATAAGCTTCAGGGGGGTTGCTAGTTAGTCTGATATTTAGCAGATAAAAGAAACCAATCAAATAATTTGGAAATTCTAGTTTTTAATCGAGGCGATAAATGACTTGTTAAGAACATAAAACAGCCACGTCTTGTCTTACTGGTATCGGTAAGTAGGTAGGTACAACAACTAAACTAAATGGGTGAAAACCTAAAACGCGTTTTCGACACCCAAGCTATTAAGCATTACAAAACCAAACTGAGACTCCCTCCCTGATATTTTATTTCTGATATAGTGTACTTCTACTGATTCTAACTAGGTATGATTAAGTTTTGTTTTCGTTTCCTTTTTCTATTTTTGAGATGTTTTTCTTGCTAAACGGGTAAACTTGGCGATCCTCTTTGCGCTTTTTCTACCTATATTACGGGGCAGCCTAAAAGCGCGCAACAAACTTCGGAAATGTCTATCTCATTTTCTCATTTCAAGCTCGATGTAAATCCAAGCCAGCACTCGGCTGTGCAAACAAGCTGTTTGTCGTCGTGAGCGTGTTTACGGCAAAGCAAGGCAGCTGTGTCGGCGACGACGCTGACGTCGGCCCGGTGGTGGTATGGAACGAGGCCCTCTTGGCGAAAATCCTTCACTCCCATCGACCGAACTAAAAGCTCAAGCACAACGAGACGTGTCAGAGGGAGCAGCAACAGCAGCACATTATACTCTGTTATTATTATTGCAGAAGAAGAGAACTCTCAGCCAACAACTTTGCGCTACCTTATTCGAAACGAAACCGGTTTTAACAATCCATCCGGCCATGGGACGTTAGGATGATGATACTCATCGTTCACAATTGAATCTTTGGCTAATAACAGCTTATTTAGTATGAATATTTAAAATAATTGTACTAGTTTATAGTTAAATATACAGATTCGGTTATAATGATTCCGCATATAATAACAATCCGAATATAATATAGTTAACTGCATTAGACATGTAGGTACTGTGGTTTTTATAGATAGGTAGATATAGGTATCCATATTTTTCAGTCTGTTTAAGGTGACTGGTTAATGTGGCCAACCGCTTATAATGATGCTTATTGTTTTTTATAATTTTTCTGTAGAATGACGACAATGGCAAACTGTCTTAGTACATTTTCTCAACCTATCATCGCAAATGCATAGAGAATACGGATCTGTTTAATACGAAAAACATAATATATCTCTTGTTTACATCATGTACCTGTTTTACCTATATGAGCCGAAGTACCTAATAATCGATAGATCTACAACACATTAAATAAATTTATAGTGAAGAATTGCTTATTAGTAGTCGTACGAGCTTATTTTAAACACAATATAAACCTACACGGAGATACAAAATGTTTGTGGGTGTAAACATGAAAGGTTCGACAAATGGGAGCAACAACTTATTTGATGCTAATGTGTGAAAATGTTTTTCGATACACGACGGAATATATCATTTAAGAAACCGGTTATTGTATTGTATGTTAGTCGTTAGTTGACTTCGTGAAGATTGGCAGGTATAAGTATGTAAATTGGTAGATAGAACCTTATACCTTATCCTTATAGCAGTTTATCTTTCGCCATACCTAATGATCCCAAAAAAAATGAATTGAAGTGATGATGAGATGAGTTAAAATGGTTCTTCTCTTTTGTTAAGAATATGCTGATGTTGTTGTTTCGGAGATATTTTACTTTATAATCGTATAGGTACCTGTACCTACCTACAGGCGTAAAAACAGAAATTACACATTTCTTGTCGGTATTTTTTTTGTAGCACAACTGAAAATGCATAATTAGTAAACCAATGCACCTTAACTCCTGTCCAAATACAAAATGTAAACGTTTATTTTTGTTTTTATGTTTATCAATATACAGGGTGTTTTTTACTAACAACTTTACAGTACTTATTTGATACGCATTTAACATTAAATTTTTATTGTTATCTGAGAATTTCATACCTTATTTCAGAAATAAATTTAAACAATTGTTCTGGATCTTTCCTCAACGTTCTTCTTTTCTTTTAAACACTTAATTTTTATGTACATATCCATCCAAAAATTACCAACTCTTTTTCACAGTTAGACATTCTGCTTAATTTTGATTCCTTCATTACTTCACTCGTTCCTGTCGGTAGGTATTGTGCAAATCTATCCCTTCAACTGTTACCAATAAATCGGTTTAAGGAGTGAAGAAGTACATTTACTTCTACTTTATTTCGAATGGAATGATAAGAAATGAAAATATTTACATCATTTGATATTAAAAGCACCCTGATGTATCCGTAAATAAAACTCTTAGGAAACTAAACTAATTAATTAAAAAAGATATTACTATTTTGAACATTGAGCTACGGTCTGTCTGGAAATACCTATCACCCCCTTTTTTGGAAATTGCCATTAACTAACTGAGCTTTCAAAATCTATTGACAAAGCATAATAAACTTCAGAAGATTTAAATTACATTTGTTCGAACTACATAAATTACTTTATTACTTATACATATATATAAAAATAGGGTGTGTTGTACAAATTTTCCTCTACCATTTGTTATTATTCAAAACGCATTCAAACCAACAACAAATATCGGTAATAACGACAACAAACACGGATATAACGTAATATTTTTATTGCTACAAATATTTGAAACAGTCGTATTATTGCCGCTGTTTTAACCCTTAAGCATCTCAGCCGACAAAAAAAAAGTATACTACCCCCTATTATTTTTTAGGAAACTCTCCAGCACATTTAAATCACGATTGTAACCAAGTGGTTTTTTTATTTTATTTTACATTGAAACAAATCAAGCAAAAAACATGGTAGAAGTACCTATACCTATTCCTATAATATGTGATACGAGATTACTAGTGGTCATACTAATTGAGTGCACGTACGTCGTTCTTTAGACGTCGGGACGCCAATGTAGTAACGACGTTTTTGGCAAAGTGCCATTAACAGCTCGAAGGTGACCGGATTACATCCCTCATAAAGACCCTTTTAGCAGCCCGTAGCTTAACGATACACACTGACAGCAACCCAAATTCCCTTCTCATAAAATCATTAGATTGGTTGGCCATATTAGCAACCCTCGCCGCATTATAGAATGTAAATCACTTTCAGAGAACTGTTGATTAAACAGTGACGAAGTTTGACCACATAATATTGTCTCCGTGACCTCAATTAATATGCATATATTCAGAAAAGCACATTTTTTATAGTGTCTATAAAAATAACTTCGAAATTATATTTCGAAGACTTCAATTAAGAAAATTAAAAATTAGATAAAAATAAAATGATATTATCCACTTTAAAACTTGTTTTATCATTGTAGGAAAGTGCAAAACTTTCCACTTCTACTGATTCTAACTAGGTATGATTAAGTTTTGTTTTCGTTTCCTTTTTCTATTTTTGAGATGTTTTTCTTGCTAAACGGGTAAACTTGGCGATCCTCTTTGCGCTTTTTCTACCTATATTACGGGGCAGCCTAAAAGCGCGCAACAAACTTCGGAAATGTCTATCTCATTTTCTCATTTCAAGCTCGATGTAAATCCAAGCCAGCACTCGGCTGTGCAAACAAGCTGTTTGTCGTCGTGAGCGTGTTTACGGCAAAGCAAGGCAGCTGTGTCGGCGACGACGCTGACGTCGGCCCGGTGGTGGTATGGAACNAGTAAAATCGAAAAATATAAACAATTACTTTTTCTTTAGATGGGTAAGTGGAATACTTAATTGTACTCTAGTTAAATCAGATCATCTTTTAACGTTTTTTTTTATTTTTAATTATGGTCAATTATGGCTAGGCACATTTTTTAGTATAAATACCTAGTTTACAATTTAAAATTCTTAGATATCAACATTTAAAGTGATTTCAATACTTCTGCTCTTTAAAATAATGTAGAATGAAAATGAAGCAGTTTCATGATAATAAATAATAACTGTATTTATACAGGTAAGGCAAAATGTTCACCATACAGAAATTACACATTTCATTAACGACTTTTTTTATTTTGTATGAGCAAAAATGTATAATCTGATTAATTCTAAATGAACCAAACTTTTATTTGCACTTATTGGATTTATATTCTTTTATTATTTGTATGAAAAAATGGCTAAAGGTATTTGCAGAAATTTTCTTATACTAGGTACGTATTTAAAAGATATTCATTATTGCATATAGTAAAATATTCGGTTCTTAATTCGCTACTACTGTAGGTATTATATAGGTTGACTGGTTAGGTCGACGTATCCCTTTAGGGATACCTAGTAGAACCTATTTTAAATCTACCTACATTTAACATAACTTCTTTTGTATATCCCAACAAAATATTGACAAAAAAAAACCAAATTTTTACAGCAACATTGACAGTATAGCAGACAGCGAAGTTAGGAAAACAGAGTAACTTAAAACCTGTCAACTAATGTATAATGCATATTATGGTTCAATATTTTGCAAGCAAATCCTCCTAACATATCCCCAAAGGAGCATATTGAGATACCAGCCACCCTGTATATCTGATTAAGAGCCCAATAGGTACCAATTATTTCTAAAAATAGATAGGTACATTTCACACAATTGGATGCACAGTTTTCCGTCTAATAAAGGGCTCTAAGGAGATGAAGTTCTAAACACGATCAGTCTACCTAATTACTTAATTAGGCACAGGCATGCATATACACTTAATTATAACACCATTCCAACACTAATTAACTCTTTACACAAGTAAGATACTTGCGTACAGAGTACAGAGGTATGTATGTAGTATGATTCACAGGAGGTAACCAAGACAGTCATGTGCGAACGCATGTAATTACAAAAAAAAACTGCATAGAAGTTTATAATCTGTTTATACTTTTCCAACCGAAAAAGAAAATTAGCACCCAGATAAATAAATAAAAGATCGTCATAGGGTTGTATTCTTTTTTTGTTTTCATTTTATTTATTTGAACACCTGCAGAAAAGCTGATGTTCAATAAATGACCTATTTTTGTTAAACAATATGATCCTGCGCGACTTAATTATTTAAGAAGAAAAATACTATGTAGATACTTTAAAAAAACCTTTAAAACGAGCCGTACAATCACAAAATGGCTTCCACTTACATCAGAATGACCGAAAGTTATTCGAAGCAGCAAAGGCAGAACAAAATCGACAAAAAAGAAACATAATGCGTACTTTCGGCATTATTACACATTACCTATCCACTAGTATATCTTGTGTAAACGAAAGATAACAACACGACTTAAGTTCCAGTTCAAAATGCTATTTACGAGAGAACTACCTAAATATTTTGCTAATCCATCATCAAAATAAGGATAGTCTCGACGGTGTGTAAGAGAGATGGAATATTTAACACACCAAAGCCAAAGAATTACATACAAAAACACCCGTTAAATTAATTTAGATAATGTAAATAATTTAATGGTTATTTCATATAGACACATACCCTGAAAATTTTAATTTCTTCGGTACCTTCCACCGCAAACAAATCGTTCCTTGATGTTGCAGAACGTAGTTAATCCGAAAGTTACGGTTTCCGTTGAACGTTTTTCAAAGCTTGTAGGCGTCACTACACGTCACAAACACCAGAACTTCACATCACTAAACTGCACACCATTCCGCATCCTCTCAGAATTATCAATACAAAACGCACTCACTATTTCTTCAAAAACACAGCACAAAAATTATCAATCGACACTCGTCTAAAATACAACACCTTCCAACGACCAACAAAATACTGTAACTGAACTCGATCAAACAGACAGCTTTACCGAGTCTGCACGAACGTAACCGAACGTAACAAAGCCTTCTTGATTCTGTGACCAGTTCAAAGCCTACTACTGCAAATTCGTACTCCGTATTTACTTTTTCATTTATTTATGTACAAATGTGTACCTAGGTATGTATTACAGGTATTTTTGCTGGCGAAATTGTAGCAATTAAAAAAAAACGCAATAATAAATTGCGTCTTTATTATAACTATTGCTTCAGGGATTAATAATAATACAGCGCAATTTAATTAAATTACTAACAAGTATCATTTAGAAATTTCAGTTCGTTCAAGTAATACCTAATAAAGTTTCTGAAGGTTTTTGACACTCTCCCTCCTCTTGTAACGTTCCCAACTTGGTTACCATTTTTACATATAAATGTTAATTAGGTATGTCGCGAAAAATATCAGAAAATTATTAAAATATCGTTTGTTCCCTTTAATTGACTCCCCCTCTTATAATACACCCTTACTGTGGTACATAATGCTTTGAAGCCCCTTACTATGAATGTACATGCAGGTAATTAACCAAGGATTATAAGTACATATTTCTATATTTATCTTTTTATTATCATCTAAATTAGAGAATTACACAAGAAATGTTTCTAGTTCTCTTGAAATGTAGGTGTAACGACACATAACAAAACTTTGTATTTTGTGTACTTGGTACCTGCATGGGTACGTGTTATGTTTTTCTTGATTTAACATGACTTTCTACTAATCGTGAGTTAATATAAATTCGATTAACTAATGATAAGCACAATAAAGGGACATATAATAGGTATACATATTGATAATACAACAGTGAATTTAGAGAAGTAGGCTGTGCATATTTTAATTGAAATGTATTTTTCGGTTGACAGCTGCAGTTGTTAATGAGCCGATATTTATCCATTTAATAACTCGTCGATTTCACATAGTGCGCTGTGTATACAGACGTCAATTAGGAACATCTCCGGGGCTACCTCCTCGGCAACTTTAATCTACTCCAATTTCGCACGTCTGCGTAATATATTATTCAAAGAAACAGTGAATAGCGAATATCTTGTAATACACGCACGTATACATGCATATATATGCATACAGCGACCGCTGTATTATAATATGATGCATAGCAGCAGCAGGGGCGCTACCGGCATCGGCAACTGCAGCAGCAGCGGCAGCGTCTCTAAAAAGATGAAAGAGTTTGGAAGTCGACTCTCTCGAAGCGCACGTCGTCATCGGCGCCGCCGCCTCGACGACGTTTCGTCTCCATGGCGTTGCACAGCCAGAAGAGTCGGCATCACACACACACATACATTCATACCCATACAAAGATTGGTGTGTAGATGAAAGCGACAGAAGCGGCGCGAGAGATAGAACCAGCGAGCGAGCGACGTTCCGATGGAACAACGGTCGAGTCGACGGTTGTTCCAGAGGAAACGCAGGCTTTAACCTGACCATGTTTAACCGGGCTGTGCCGTGCACGGCTGGCTGCGATGATGCTGACGCCGCGCTATACGAACGAGCGAACGAGGAGGCGATGCCTTCGCCGACGCCGTCGTAGACGCCGCCGCCACCGCCTGCGACCGCATGGCATGGCTTTGCGGAGGTCTCGCCGTGCAATGCCAGGCAGCCAACCAACGCAACGCGGCTATTCACCGACAACAAACGGAATACATAGCAGATACATAATAGATTGCAATCGGTTAAAGCTGGCGACCGGAAAAATACCAACAGCTCAAATGTTCTTTGTACTTACCTAGTTTTTTCGCATTTTTGTTCGTTCGGGCTCTAACGTACTACTGTGTAGAGCCTTTACCCTCCACTTGTTAATTAATCACTTTCATCATAATAGATACACGTGTATTGTTGTGTTGTATGACATTACGTGGCGTTTTCTAACAATAGGTATCCACACACATGTGTAATTAGATAATAATTACTATTAAAGCATATCACATAATTACATACATTAAAAAATCTAGATACCATCGGTATGTATACTTGTGCTTCGGCTGACAGGCAGAAATGAGCTAATTTGCATATTCACCAGTGTATACATTTTATGTTTTTACCCCTTTTCGCCTTTTGAACTACCCCCTGGTACATTTGAAATTAAGAAAACCAACCCAATCATAATTAACTTTCGTAAAAAAAAAGCATAGACATTCGGCGCTTATAACGCGAATTAGCCAATTCTTGCTTATTGACTATCCAAGTAGAAGCATCTGTTTTGTGTACATAAAAAATAGACAAAAAAACATTTTTTACTACATTTGGTCTCGAAGGACTTAACCACGACAAGTGTCACTTCGTTCGTGTTGTCTTTTCCTACCGTAACCTTCGATTAAAGTTCAATTAAATCTGGAGCATAAGGTTACTATAGGAAAAGTCAACACGAACGAAGTGAAACTTGTCGTAGTTACGTCCTTCGAGACCATATGTAGTAAAAAATGTTTTTTATGTACACAAAACAGAGTACAGAGTAAATGATAGTCAATAAGCAAAAATTGGCTAATTCGCATTATAACCAGTTGATACGAATGTCTATGCTTTTTATCACAATTTAAAAAACGAGAAAATTTAAATGACGTTTAACTATATGTATAATAATTTAGTTATAGAGTATTGGTGGGACTTATTGCTTGCTGATTCCTTTTTTGTACTGTACAGACAGTTAATACCGTTGACATACATTTCTCCATTTGAGTACATTTAGACGAATTCGTGTCGGTTAAAGAAATCATTCTTTCTTTGCACGTACTCATACTTAACAGTCGAAATTTATTATTTTACATTCATTATTCGAATAATGAGCGGGCCCATTAGTGCCGCCTTTTTTACATATGCTCACGATTCATGGTAAATACAAGAACCAATACATACATAATTTAAATATACAGACCGTCCCGATTTCGTATCATTAGTTTTGCAGCAATCATTAGAGAATAAACATTTGCTGGTAGTCTTTTGTTTTACCGAATCTATTACGTAATCAGGATGCGCCTTGGGTACAAAAGTAGAGAGAGAGGAGGCTAGTAGATTGGCACTGATTGGTTTCTATAAAACAATCGTTAAAACAAAACTGCATAAAAACTGACTTAAATGACTTGTTTCTTTGTCATGTGGTGCAAAGTTCATGTGATGATTTTGGGACACTGTATATCTATATGGAGAAATACGCTTATAGAATATTCAGGGTCAATAATATTAGGAGAAACCGATTTGTTCACGATATCGCGATATATGTATGTATAAGGTATGCAGTTGTTGCCATGATGAGTCCAAATAAGGAAAAATTATTACAAGACTGCTTGTGTAAAAGTTTCACGAATGGAAACTTACCGCCGACTGTTGTCATGTCTAAAATGACATTTTTATTTAATCTAAATTGAAAAGTGTAATTATGCCCATATGGCCATTTTAGCTGCAGTTCTTTCACTTCAGAAATATATATATAAATTATATTTTTAATTTGGGTCTTTTTTTGGTAATGGGTAGGCTGCATCATTACCTAGTACCTGGCCGGATCTTAAAAAAGTGTCAAATCCACCAGGTACTGGATTTACACCGGATATCCGTATCATTTCTAATATAAAGGATTTTCTCAAGACGTTGTCGATTTTTGTTAATATCCAAATGTTATTTATTTTTTTCCCACCCCTCGCTATCTAGGTATTAAAATTTAATTTGTATTGGAATTACTTTTTTCAGATCGATTTGATTACACGCTAAAACTCTAAATTACTTAATGTTTTTCTTTTTATTTAAGTGCACTTTTTGTTAAAATATATTTTGATTTAAAAATCACCACGTGTTTTCTTTAGAGCGTCCAAACCACATTAATAGGGTAGCACTAAACACCAAAACATTTTGTATAATTATTGCAAATCCTGGCCACAAATGTCTAGTTTTCTCTATTAAAAAATCATTAGTGAGTATGTAGGTAGCTCCAATCAAAGACGAGAAGGCGATCAGAAACGCTAAGAAAAATACTACAGCAAGAAATTGTTTGGTACAAATTTTTCTTCCGTTATAAAAATACGTGTTGTCAGTAAAGTCTCTTGGAATAAAGAAGTTGATCATCAACAAAGAAACGGTACTTCCCAGAAGCGGTAAGTAATAAACTGGGTTGTTATCAATTATGGGTTTGTACATTATGCTAATGTCTACCATCATCCACCATCCCGAAAAGAACAAAAATCCTGCCAAAGCAGCAAAAATGTAACTACGGTTTTGAGAACATCCATTAAAGGAAGAAATTTTTTGCATGAGCTTGAGACACATAATGACAATTTTAAAAACATGACACTGAGAAAATTAATTCTTTCAAGTTTAGTACTTACCTTTTTTAATTTTATAAAAAACAGCCTTACAAAATAGTTACAAAAGTGGTCATACACAAAAAATATTTATGTTGCATTAATTTTTTGAATTTAAAACTTGAACTAAGAATTAAGTTTTGAATTTGTCTATACTTGCCATCTGTCTGTGGGAAACCATACTATTACTTATTTTATTGGTTAGGAACCTTGGAAAAAATCATTTATTAATTGTAATTATAAATAAGAATGATTTCAATTATTTCAACTTTGTATGTTTATTTAGTTATTGTACATATATTTGTCATTCGTTCTATAAATTAACATTATTACAAAGAATTCTGTATTAATTTGTGTTTTATGTTTATTAGGTAATTCCGATAACGTGCTAATGATGGCGGTAGGTAAAGGTTTATTTTTGTTTATTCTGGTATAGCAATAATTTAAAATTTATGGGATTATAGTATTTAACATTAGCAGAATCATTGTTTCATTTATTCATAGTACCTATTTACCTATTATTAATAGAATTACAAATGAAAAATGAAAGAAGTAATGTTATTGTTTTGTGTTTTATACTGTATACTACATAATAATTTAATAATAAACATATAAGATGTATTTAAACTTATTTAAAATGATATTTAATTCAATACTTAATATTCGCGTTTTTTCGTGGATCATTCGTCAATCTCTCGGTACTTTGAACCAATCAAAACGTTTGTTACAAATCAGCTGTTGTGAATAGTAGAAAGCGACAAGTTTTCTCTTTCTTTGCGCAGTTCTGTTATGCAGTTTGCCTGTAGTTGTGTGTATTAGGCATTGTTCAATACTGTTCACTATAAACAAGTGGTGAGTGTTATAAAATTGAACGATTATCTGTTATAATCTAATTTATTTCCTTTGTGACGAATTCGTTTGAGGTAAGATTAATAATTTACTGATAGAGTAGTTCATGCTATCTGTTATATGCCTTTGTTACGTCTTTGTTTGAGAGCTTATTGATTTTGTGTTTGTTATGATTTCTGAACAACTTTCTTTAAATAAAGGGCATAATATTTACATTAATTTATAACCAATTTAATGACGTTATAACTGGTTAGCTTTAAAAATTATGGACCGTATTTTGGCCTATTATTGTGATTTTGTAATAAATTGTAATTTCATTTGACCGTTACGATTAAGAAATAGTCATGTAATGGAATGACAGTTTTACTAAATTTTTTCGTTGTCAGTGTGTTATGTTACATAAATAATTACAATTAATTGCTTAAATGATTAAATTCATTTTAATATACCTAGGCTCTAACAAAAAATCTGGGCATTTTGTTTGAACTTTTGACGGTTGGCGTTTGCCTTCCACAAAAGCTAAATCAACAGCAATTACTTTTGTTAAAATACATATTTATTTTCTATTAATCATCGTAATTCATGATAACCACGAAGAACTTTGACCCGAGTGCATTACGTTATGTATGCATACGTGTTGTAGGTGTCTATCGATTATTTATATATTATTTATATTTATTACTAAGTTACTAACGTATCTACTTGCAATCTGAAAGGTAAATCTATATGAACTCTCTGATGCAATTAAATGACGAGGAGAACGTTGTGCATATGTAGGTATAAAGGTTTAAGTGTTTTGCGGTATTTGGAATTGGAGCAAAAGTTTCTGTGCTAAAACGGTTTTCTACCATAATTACTTAGGTACCCACCGGAAATATGACTTTCAGTAACTGGCGGCTAATTACACGAACGATGTATTTATGGCTTCATGGTTTTTAGTTTAGATCTCTCTAGGTACTCTAAGTTTATTATTTTTCTGGTTACAGGATGTTTGTTTTGTTAAAAATAAATAATTTCTATAAGTAGATAATTGTATATCCAGATTGGGATGTGTGAGGTATTTTTTTGTTATATGTTTATANAATTATTTAATTATTACAGAGTTTGAGAAGGAATATATCGGTAACAGCGATATGGCAATCATTACGATTTTTTTACCAATTTATCATCAGATAGTTAATCTATAGATGGCCAACTAAATGTTGAACTATTATAATATTGTTTTCTAATTTTTTTAAGTGTTACAACTCCTACAATAGATCGCAAATAAAGTTTCAGTTTTGTTTTGTTCTTGGGAAGCTGTCCACAAATTACGTAATGCAAAATTAATCAATTCAATTAAAAAATAGTTGTTTAATTTCCTAAAGTAATTTAATTTTAAATGTATTCTAAAATCGTAATGTATCATTGTAACCCCGTTTAAGATCAGGTAACTCACTCACGGACTCTCCCCCAATTAGCGTTACATGGAGAGGCTGTTATTATTTTGCAATTAATTAAAAATTAACTCTTGAAACTTTGCATTTTTTGTGCAAATTACTGTTTTTTTTTCATTGTTTTTAATATCGCAATTTTTATCGTTTTACGACAGGGGTCAATGGCCTTAAATTCCCATTTGTATTTATGTATAATTTATATATATGTACTGCAGTTGTATAACGATTATGTTAAAAAAACACCTTCATAGTTATTCTGGTTCAAGGTTGGTACGGGTTCTACAGTAAAAATACAGGTTGTTTGCGGGCTTAAAATAAAAATGGTATCATCCCAATTAAAGAAAATAAGTAGGCTTTCTTAAATTAAATTGTATTATTTTATAATGGGTATTTTAGTCGTTTTGAGATTATTCACATTTTCTAATTGTAAGTAAGTAACTAGGCCGTTGTGATACATATATGTAGTTATTTTTTTATTTAGTTAGAAATAGTTCAAATTAAAATACAACAATACAATACAACTTGGCAAAACAACATAAATTAAGTAAAAACAAAATAAATTGGTTGAGTATTTATTTATTCGAATGATCATACTTCAAACTTACAAAGTTCGAAAAATATTTGAACACATTAAGGGCCTTTTTAACGTATATATGATTTTCAATGGCTATGTTAGAAGTACAGGTACGTCATAAAAATGTAGGAACAAATACGGTGACTTCAAGGTATTTTTTAAGTAGTCAAACATATTCATTTTCTCAAGGGCTTTTAAGTTTGTGGACCTTCTACGTCACCGGTATTCTAGAAAGGAACAAGCGCATTGTGAGTCACGTTCAAATTTAAATTGATTTTTCATTAGGCAAATATATGTATGTAATTAATTTTTGCAATTCAAATGTAGGTACATACGTATATGTGTTTGCAAATTAAAATCGAAAAAAAAAATTTCCTTAATTCTTCGTTTTAGTTTTTAAATTTCTTTGGCAATTATATGTACATAATAATTAATCAATTAACCCCCCCCTCCCTTTGTTTGTGTAGTTTTCTTGTTTGTGAAACTTATCACATATTTTTGAAGATAATCTCATTGAATAGTATGTGGATCATATACTGTACTTCAAAAACTTGTTGTCATTTACATCAGAATTATTTAAGAAATAAAAACAAGGACTGTTTGTATTGTTATCATATCATCTGATTCTTGATTACATGAGTTGTAGGAAATATATGTATGTATCTAATGCGTATTACGATTGACCTTTAGCATTGTGTAACATAACACATTAACCCTTCGGTACAGATACATTTATCTAAATTGGAATATTCGAAAAATTGAAAATCAGAACTAATCGAACTTGGTTTAAACCAATCCCAACTTAACCTAAAGCAATTTCAATTGTTTTGCTTTAGATAAGAGACTTCTTTCGTGTTGTCTTTACCTTAAAACTGTAGATTAGAAGAAAATATGTAGGCTTTTAACCCTTCGGTTATTTATATTACAGATCTATATATTACAATGAAAATTAAAAAATACAGCAAAAGTGCCCACACTGCGTTGTAAATAAGTTTTTGCTTAATAAACAATTAAGTAACAACGTATTGTTATTGCAATAAACTGAAATTGCGCGTTGAGGCACTGTAATTGGCACTTACGGTTAAAGCAAAGGTACATGATGACTGGTTAATATAAAACAATAATTATTTTATTTTTTGTTAATATTATGTATGTAGTTTTGTTGCATTGTATACAGACGTCAATTAGGA